CGAGAACAATTGCTTAAGCCTTATTTACAACATGTGACAAAAACATGTTAAATCTCTTGTACATCATGTCGTGGCGATAAATACTCTAATATGTTGGTTTTAAATGTAATAATCGAAATACGTATTTTGAAAGAGATATATCATGCGACACGTCTTTGACCGTATGTAATCGTGGCAATTATATTTAGTGTCGCGGATCCGACGGGTTGAGCGCCCGTCGGGCAGCGATCGAGAGCGCTGATTTCGCCCAGCGCAGGGAGCGGTGAGGTAAGGTGAGCCAGGAGAAGAAATTGAGACTTTGTCGAGACGATCACTATTTGCTTTATTAGAACGATGCACAGAGTAACTCTAGAGCGAGGTTCGACGGTCAAGAAGATCGGAACGGAGATCTTCAGAGTGCCGACGGCCGGGTCAGCCGATCGCGACGGAGATCTTGGCGAGCGCTTAACCGACGCTCCGCGAACGGAGATCTTGAGCGCGAGCGACGGATATCTTCCGCGTCCCTGGTACGCGCGTCCGCGCCCCGTCGAGCCCACGCACTCACGAGCTATGCGAACACACAAGGAAATACAAAGATTTACACGATTGAAGAGATCCGCAACGAACTTAACGCACTAACACAGTGTTGGTTACGAGATGGAGACAGTTCACGCCGCACCACTGTCAAGTTTGCCGTGTTCTGCGATTGCGGTTGCAGCGGAGGCAAAGCGAAATGACGCGAGCACGGCGCGAAGGGCAAACGGCGGGCGAACCGCGCCGACTTGCGCGCGAGAGAAGAGAGCCGGCCCGAGAGAGTGTTAACACTCTGGCGCTCGAGATAAGTCGCGGCGAAGCTGCAAGCCTCGAATCTTGCGCGAGACAAAGCGCAGCGGATTCCGCGATCACGACACGATAGCCGGCCCGAAATCCGAAATTGAACTCGGGACTATCCGTCATATAGACGACGGTCTCGACGAGTCAGTCGAAGTCGCCTCGAAACAGCTGATCGAAGTATTTTTTGGGCGACGTGAAGCTGCCGACTAGAAGAGCGAGACTCTCGTCGTCGTCGACGAGAACAGCTTTTAAGGAAAAAGCGCTTGGCGACAGGTCGCTCGCTGTTTGGTCGCGGTTGCCGAATATTCGAAAAAATTGCCTTATAAGGTCCGCATGGCAACAGCGGCGATCTAACGCACGAGTTATCTCGCGCGAGCATTTGTTTATTTGGCCGAGTGGTCGGCATGGCAACCGCGACCA